GATCCCCAATCTCCATCCTGTCAACCATTTCTATATTAGAAGTTAACAATAAATCTAAAATAGTGTTTGTTGTTTCTTGTAGGTTTCATGACCAATTGATGAAGAAAAACCACCCTGAACAATTTTTGAAAATGCGTCTCCCTCATGGTTTGACTAACATTTCCCAATCTATATGGCTAAAATTAAAATCCACCATAATTATAACATTACTAACAACTGAATTCTTTATCTCACGGAGAGTTTCTTATTAATTTCAACAGTTTCATCTGGTGGTCTGTAACAAATTCCAACTAAAAGCCTTCTCTTATTACCACTAACAGATATATATTCAATCTCATTGCTGTTAGCTTTGACATCCACAACTTGAACAGGATGTTACTTACATTTTACATATAAAGCCACTCTTACCTCTTTTTTTAGCACTCTTCCCCCCTATTAAGTAAACCAAAATCATGTACTTCAAGGGAATTTCTGTCATCAGAATTGTCTACATTTAATGAGGTTTCAGTTATTCCCATTACATCAAAATCCTTCATTCAGGCTTGTGCCTTAGAGTCATCTATTTCTTATAGTTTAGCATAACAATGATAACAGTTTAACCCACCATTTAAACTACTTCTGTACTTTGTTCTTACACTATAATTTTCTTTACCTTGGCCCTCACCATTGTTTAGTTCTATTTAATGTCTACTCTTACAATTGAGTTCATAGCCCTTATAAATAAACCACCCATCACCATGTAAACCATGTATTTCAAAATGCTCCCTTTTCTCATTGAACCAATCCCACAAATCTAACTAGACTACCTGTTCATCTAGCATTCAGCCTTTGTGACCTACTTATAATTTCATCCCTACAGTTAAGTTTTAGCAATATCCCTGACAGAAATAACTTATTGTTCATTTTGTTTAAATGTCTATCAGTCCTTTGTACTTATAAATTAGTTCTTCTCTACATCGTTAGCCCTTATGTTCACTAGAACGACTCCATCACTGCTAGTACCCTTTATTGTATCACATTCTCTGTCAGTTATGTCTTGCAACTCTTTTACTGGATAGAATAATTTAACTTTCTTCTCCCTGTTTACGACACAGATTATCCTTTCCATATGCTCTATAAAGAATCACTTGTAACTATAATGTCATTATACTTTTCATTGCCATCCGTATCTGTACCTTTTATTTTCCTTCATTCTCCTTAGGTTGTCATTTGCACAAGCTAAAGGCTGGAATCTGTTACTTAACATAATCTGCTCATTACAATTAATTCCACTATTTCTAGCCTTATTAGTACTGTTTCTAACTTCCTAAAAGTTATTGTTAGCTACTGTATCCTTCGCATACAAAAGCTTAAGTTCATCTTGAAATCCTGTTGTCATTTCCCTCAGTTCATCTTTTTCTTTATCTATCACTTCTGCTCTAATTAGGATAGCCTCAAATATCTCCCTAAATCTGCAAACTCTACATATGAATTAGTTTGCCCTTTCTTGCCATCATGCAGACTATCCATTTTAGATCAGCAGTTGTTAGGTTCATTGTTACCTATTTGGGGCAGTTCCTGACTCAAATATTAGTCTTACCATGCCCAATATTATCTCCTACATCTTACCCTGACCAACCTCATATGGTATCTTTCTTCCGTACATCTCTTATCGGAGACTATCCACAGAAATCCTGAGGGGTTTTCTGCAGATACCCTTACACTTCTTTCCTCCACATTAGCCCACATTTTATCTTCAGCTCTGGCATTATATACATGGTTTCTTTGTTGTTAGGACCTTATAGGTCAGGATGCAGTTTGGGCTCGGGTCAGTTTACCTGTAGCATATCTTGCAGCTTTTCTGAGATGATACATCTTTGATACAGTCCCAGAAACTGTCGACCCTCGGGTGATATCAATCCCCCAGCAATCAACCCTTACGACTTTTGTAGCCCATCTGTCTCAGTCAGAGTCTCATATGCCACCTATTCCCCTTTTCCCATCCTTCATCCTTCCAACTCTTACCCATTCCCTCTAATTGGAGTACTTCTCATTCATTTCCTTGATGACGTACCAGTTCACCATCCTTCTGGGGTTGTTTATTCCTGTCTTTTCATTGTCTCCTGAAAACCAGGGATTGGTAGCCAGTCATCAATTTATTTTGCCTCAACTGCTTCATCGTACTCTCCAAGTTCACCATGGAGCCTTTTCTAACCCTGAGATGGGCATTTTCCTCAGGGTTGTGGATGACAAAAATGGATGTCTCCAATGCTTACCTGGATCTTGAAAAATATTAGTGTCTATATTGTTTTAAGTTACAACAATTATAAGAGGCTGTAAAGTACACATGTTTATCTTAAATTTCATTTCAGACTCAAGTCTGCTTTTTCGTTATTAATTACTGGTCTGCACAGTATTAGTCTATGACTTGAAGCCCTGTGTAGTGCATAAACCCATGCTTAATGTTTTTGATCAGAACAGTTTCAAAAACCAATGGCTATTATGACAGCATCAACAAAATGTTTGTTAATTTATGCTAGATATACTTGTTTATTATTCTACTATTTTGATCATTAAAAGTATAAGTGAATTTCATTTATGGGTACTGTCTGCACTTAGCATGATAACCTTGTTCCTTGAAATACAAGTAGAAATGCAGTAGCATTTAAAATAAAGTTCAATAAATCTACATCCTCTGCCATGCAACATCTAGTGCAAGAACATTCAAGTGAGAAAAAAATTAAAAGTGCCAGCTGTTTTGGGAGCAAATAAATCATCATGTGTTGGCAGACACGGTGCTGATATCGGCATTGCCCAACACACAAAATGATGCTACATGCTTGGTCTTGAAAGCTGTGTGTCACAGCACTTGAAGCACAGTATGTACAGAAAGAAAGAATGATATAGAATATTATGAATTAATATGGGGTCTAGACAGGGTAATACAGGAACAATGAAGAAACAAAGGTG